TCTGCTTGGCAAAAATAATACTACCATCATTAAATATATTTAAAAACTGATGTAACAGAAGTCCTAGAAGGCATCTATGTCTAAAAGAAACCTGACTCATCAGCACTGTAAACTTATTCTGGTAAATGAGCTTTTTCAGAATCATCTTCATTGTTAAGCAACATTGCTACAGCGTCATGATCTGCTAAGATCAATTTTTTACCACAATTAAGGTTTTAATTAGGGAAATTGCATGTCTTCAAAAATATTTTTATTCAGCCCATATTAAATTGAATGTCTTTAAACTTGTGTATGTCACTGTTTTATCTTTTAAATTATTGGCTATAACTGTTCCAGATTACAGGAGGCTGAATAGATATAACACATAAATGTAATATGTGATCCTGATGGGATCCAGGGCGGGAAAATGCTACAAAGGACGTTAATAGGACACATGCCAGTATTTGAATATGAATTGTACATTAGACAATAGTAGTCAATTCCTAAACAAGTCAAAATCCTAAATTCAATCATTGTATCGTTGTGTATAAGAGAATACCTTGTTCTTCAGGTACACATAAGCTGAAGTATTTAGAGGTGATAGGGCATGATGTCTGCAGTTTACTGTCAAATAGATTAAGAAAATCAATAGTTCAGCTCATTTGTGATGAGGAAACCTTGAGGGGAGAGATAAAGCAAAATGGTAAAATATAAATGAGTAAATTAGGGTGAAAGGTAGGTATACAGAAGTTATTGTAATATTCTTGCAATTCTTCTCTTTGAAATTCCTTTAAAATAATTGTTTTTAAAAGTCTCTGTTAATTGTTGCCACATCCATAATGCCTAATCGTAAACTGTTTTCAGTGTTCAAATTTACATTTTTCTGGACCCATCCTTATATATACCACATATAAGGTAAACACATATCCTTTTCTGCACAACCATGTAGACTCTCATGTTGGGAGGGGCCAACAATAATTATTCTATTTTTATTCAAGAACTATAACCTTCAAAAGCAGTGTCATAAGCAATTTTTAAAAATATTTTTACAAACATGCCTGTACATACAAATATGTGGAATTAGTTCCAGAGAGCCCTTTCATAAATCAAAGTGGTTCTGAACAACTGATATGTGAAAATATCATTTTTTAAAAGGCTGCATTATGCTAAGAACTAAAATTGTTATTTTAGATTAGTATACTACAGTACTTACTAACTATAGTTAGCACGGGATTCCAGTGTCTCTTTAGTAGATCATAAGCCAGAGTTGTCATAAGTACCAAAATTCACTAAGTCACCTTGATTTCACAGTTTAGTAGGGCAGATTAAAATCATAAATTTATTTTAGACATTGCAATTTTAGCATGACACCTTTATCTAATATCAAACTGTGGCATCTCAGAATCTCATGCCAGGCATGATAATCAGTTTTTAAATGCAAATTCTGAAAAATGGATTTCAGCAGAGGATGAATTTGAAACCTCAAGCTGGCCGTGCCAGGGAGGACATGTAAGTGTTTACTGATGAGTTATGACACACATATATTTCTTTTGGCAAATTATTGACAAAAAGGCATAATACTACATAGCTTATTTCTAACATAAAGCATGCATGGTCCAATAAAAGTACTGTTTATAAGAGAATATGTCAATGTTTCTGCCCTTTCTGATTTACTATTCACTTTCTTAAAATACCTGGGTAAGTAAAGAAAAACAAGAAAAGTTTTAATGAATATTTTGTAAGTGACAGTGGATTTCACAGGAGTCAAAATCACTGGATAAATTAAAATTTTCAACTAGAAATGACCTTCTACAAGTAACATCTTCAGGTGTTTGGCAATATAATTATAACACACGGCTGGTATTCAGTAGATGAATAATGCTCTTAACCCTACATTGTGGAGGTGCTTCAACATTCCCTAGGAAGTAGAGCAGGTTTGTGGTAAGAAAACCTTCACATGCCCAGTTTAGGATCCAACATTTGAATTTCGTGGGCCAATATGTAAGAATTTACTAGGCTCTTAACTTGAAACCTATGTCCTCAGATTCCTCAACTCATAGAAATTTAGTTTTAAAAGACACACTCAAAAATCATGAGTCCAGATGTTTGGTTTTTCACAAACATGAATTCACCTCCTTGTTCAAGGTCACCAGGTATGTCTATCCCTGACACACTCTGCTACCTCTTCTATTTTATGTGAACACACACACAAAAATATGTGACTCTTAAAAATATCTGTTTTATGGAGTTTCATCTTTAATAAAAGCCTTTAAATAGCAATTTAAAATATTAAATCTTCATCTTTGGAAGAGCATATTCTCCGTGTGCATATATTATTAAATAGGAAAAGGATAATCAAAGACAATTAAAATTCACAACAATTCCTTTTATTTACTTTAATTTGTGCACTAAATATTTTAAGCTTGTATGATGTTCATGTTTTTTGAAGATCCATTATTTATGAAAAAATTAATCCCTGTTACTCGCTTTGTATTGAGAAAATGATAGAGATAATGTAGAGTTTCTACTTTTTAAAATTTTATTTTTTTTACCAAAGGCTTAAATACCTTCAACCCTATTAATGGCAAAAGAACTAAAGAGTTATTTCTAATTTCTTTTTGTGGCATGTCATTGATTTAACATAAAGAGTTTCAGTACATTTCAATGGGAAGTAAAGCATTCTAGTTAAATGATACAAGTAGAAAACAGACGACAGGTGACAATGGGCATCAGTAAAAATTCTTGATGTCGTGATAGTGTTCCCTTTCTAAGAGCAAATATAATAAAATACTGACAATACATTTAAACCTAGTCATAGTACAAATGATTTGAATTTCAATTAATCTGATGGTCTGCTTGTATATATTTTGAAGTAAATTTTATTGAAGGCCCATTGAAAAAATTGAGGATCTGAGTTCAAACTCTCACAGTACAAGAAAAATTAAAGAGGCAGAAAAAACAATCCCCTATTCTGTCAACATCAAGTACCCAAGGTTCTAATGATAATATGGCCAGAATAAACATATGGGAGCCAATCACTATGAAAGACAGTTGTCCATTCTCAAGCATTTGCTACTCAAAGTGTAGTCCATGAACCAGCTGCATCAAAGTATGTTAGAAATGCAGAAACCCAGGCCCTCCTCCAAACCTACTGAATCATAGTCTACATTTCAAAAGGATCTCGGATCTCTGAGTGATTCACATGCATATTAAGGATTGAGAAGCATTGCTTTAGGTTGAATTTGGAAAAGACATAGAAGAGTGAGTGGAAGTGATTGTATTTACATCTGTATTTCTTAACCTAACTAGACATGTCACCATAACAGGTACTCAATATTATATACTATTTGTCAGACACTTTGTGAAGACTTTTATAATCAGTGTCATGTTTAAATCTCACAACAAACCTATGTGATGGGAGTTGTTATTAACATTTTACAATGAGGAAACTGATTTATAGTAGACAGCGCAATATCACACAGATAGTAAATGGTAGGAGGCAGTCTGAAATATCACACAGATAGTAAACGGTAGGAAGCAGTCTGATTCAAGAACCTGTGCGCTTAATCATTATATTTTATGGCTTAGCATATGGCTATATGCAGATTCCAACTTACATCAAAATTTGATGCCAATTTTTGAATGAAGAACAAATGAATGATATGAAGGCTGCAATAGAAAAAAATTCTGCTGTAGATAAAAAAAAAATTCTTATCATGCATGAGTCTTAAATAGCTTCGACTTTCAAAATCCTGCTTGTCAACTTGTGGGTATTAAGATGGTAAAATATGCAAAAAATTTGGATAGATGCAAGTACTGGCTAATTATTCACAAACAAGTTTAACTTGTACTTAAAACTTAAACCTCTCCTCATAAAAATATAGAAATATTAACAATGAATTATAATAAAATTATTTAAGAGTGTTCTGATTATCATATACATTAGAAAAATTTTTTTATCTGTCTGGAAGGATCCGTGTCTATCCTTTACTCTGGAAAGGAAATTATAGAATCAAACAAATACAAATATGTACTTTTAAAAAATGTTTTTGATTACAGCTATTTTTTGATAAATTATAAAGATACAAGAGGCTGCTCTATTTCACAGTGGTGGTAGTGGGAACGAAAAAACCAGCAAAAAATAAATACTACAGTGCTTTTCTTATATTTAAGTTCAAAACTAATATGATTAAAATAGCTGATGTTTATTGAATGCTTCCATCTATGTAAGGCACTGTCACATGAGGATTTTTTAAAAATATCATTTAATCTTAACTGAGAACTAGGGACTAGGTTTATTCAGATGAGGAAGCAAGAACTGTTAAACGTTGGATCTTGGATATAAACCCATGTGGAATGATTCTAGTTCTTAGAATTCATGCTGCACTATTTTAGGAAAATCTTCCTTTATCGCTCAGTATATTTAACATATTTCAGGTTTCCTCCCTCTTCAAAAGATAATATACATATAGTTTTCTTTGAATTATTTTATAGATATGATATCTATAGTCACACTGACTTAATGGTCTTATAAATAAGATAAACGCCTTTAGTTCATGTGACCAATATGAATGATGTCTTTAGTGCCTAGTTTTTCATTGAAAAAAATAAACTATACTGTAATTTGCCTCCTTGCACCATCTAGTGGACTTAAATGACAACTACGTAGTACAATAAATGATTACAAGTTAATTACATGTCAAAATTTCAAACATATCTCGAGAACTGTTCCTAAAATTGTATTTCCTATTACATCACAAATGTACACGTAATTGTTATTTCTTCCTTTTTCATGAGGAAATCAATTAAGCACGGGTGCTGAATTCAATAGCGACTCTTTAAATCCATAAATAAAATAACATAAAACAGCATCCTCGCAATCTTTTTACAATTAGAGATCCTGAAAGTCAAATACATTTCTGTTCACCCCTCCGTCTTCATAAACTCCAAGGCTTCCCAAGCAGCTGCGCAATAAAAGCACCGCGATTCTGCGCAAGGCTAGTGCGCAGGCGCGCTGAGGAGCGGAAGCGGGGAGGTGGGGCTAAGCACGGAGCAGGGAACGGAAGAGGCCCTGGCTGCTGGGTGAGGCACGGAGACCGTTTGGCGTAGAGTCTGGGGCCTCCCGGAGCTCAAAGTCCCAGACCCCGAGAAACGCCAAAAGAAACTGAAGGACTTGTTCCGGAGCAGTCGCCGCTGGCTGCTGCTTTCCTGCCCGCGGCCGCGGACGCCTCCACCCCCGCCGCCTGAGGAAACGGTCCTGAGAGGCCTCTAGGCCTAGGCGCGGCCCGCGGAGCCAGACGTGTTGCTGCCCGTGCTGCTGTGAGTAATACGCGCGCCCTCTCCACAGCCGTTTACAGATTAAAATGGAGGAAATTTCGTTGGCTAACCTGGATACTAACAAGCTAGAGGCCATCGCTCAGGAGATATACGTAGACCTAATAGAGGATTCTTGCTTGGGCTTCTGCTTTGAGGTGCACCGGGCAGTCAAGTGTGGCTACTTCTACCTGGAGTTCGCGGACACTGGCAGTGTGAAGGATTTTGGCATTCAGCCAGTGGAAGATAAAGGAGCGCGCCGCCTCCCGCTCTGCTCCCTTCCTGGAGAATCTGGGAATGGGCCTGAACAGCAGCTGCAACGCTCACCTCCGGAATTCCAGTAGCTGCAACATGAGAGAGGCCGAGGGTGACCAGGACAGTAACATAGACCGGTCCTGTGGTCTGGAGAAGTTCGATAGCTAAGTAAAAAAAAAAAAAAAAGAAAAGAAAAAAAAATCTGACAAAAGTTCCAAACCCCATTGAAGATCTTAGCCTTTAAATACCCAAAGTGGAGATTTAAGAATTTGGATCCTTTTATAAGTAGATTACCTGGGATCAGCTTTGACACCCTGGGCAGGAGCAGCTGTGTATCCTGCGCGCCATGCAATGCAGCTTGGTCTCTAAACACACCAGAAAGGGCACAAGATCCCTGTCCTGGCTGTCCCCGGTGCACAGGTGAGCAGCTGTGTGCCCGAGTACATAAGATCCTTTGGCTCCTCCGCCTTTCTGTCCTCCTGATGTCACGGGCTTCCTGGATAACTGTCACTTTGGACATAACTGATGGTCAGGTCTTTATCTTTGAGACTCAAGGGACTGCTCCTCTCATCTCTGAGCCTCTGATTTGGGTTTCTCCAAGACAAATGAAAGTCAGGCGTGAGATCTGGATATTAACTATTCCAGTTTGGGAAAACCAAGAAAAAGAATTCCCAGCCGAATCGGGTAGGGGAAGCTCTGTGGTCTTGGTTCCAACAAGAAGAAAAGGTCAGAGCCACCAGTTTCCCAAAGGTCCAGCATTTACAATGACTTCAACGGACTTGGAGACAAGGGCTAGCCTTTTGCTGAACAGAGCCCTCTTCCTGGCGCCCTACCCAGTGTCATAGGCTTAGCAAATGGACAATTTGGTTATCCAGGCAGGTTGAGGATTTAGCTGTAGTCCTTTGGAGAGGTAGCAGGGGCCCCTGCAACTATGCACGACCTCTCAAATTGCAAGATTCCTATTTGGATATATTCTGTGGACAACAGTTTGGTGGGGCAGTGATTTTTCCTATTCTGAGTTACTAGTTACATAGTCCGTGGGTCTGACTTGGTCATTATGCCAGGGGCAAGACTGAACTGTAGAGGGGCACCATGGCTGTGCAGGAGGCTGTGGTTTGAAAGCTGAGGCCAGAGGCCCTTCTTCCAGCTTCCCTCAATAATGTGAAGGGGTTAGTGCTAGGAGCCAAGGAGCAGAACTGGGGTGTCTCACATCTGACTGCAACATCCTGTTGAATGCCCTTGTTCCTTGGGTTGTGCAGTCACAGAGCTCTGCTGCGGTGAACCTCTAAACTGTCACCACCATCTCTGCCCCTCACAAGGGGCAGCCCTTTCCTCTTGGTCCTCCTTGGACCTTCTTGACTACAGGAGCTGTCCTTTTGTTGTTGAAAGCCAGGGAAGGGCCCCCAGGAATCCCCAGGCTACAGGAAATACGATAGGGGAGGATGGGAAGTGTGAGCCACATAGCAAAACTACCCTCCACTTGACTCCCTGATGAGGGTTTAGGAAATACAGAGGGGTGGAGCCCCCAGGTGAGTGGGAACGGTGCTGCTTTATTTGAAATGTTTTCTTACCTCATTATGTGCCCCAGTAATCTGTCTGGCTTGGCCTCATGTGTCTGGCTAGGCCCCACATTCCTGTTTCCTGCTCCACTGCCTGTTGGTGCATCTCATGACTCCAGGTGCTGCCTGCCACCTTACTTTCACATTGACCAGTTTCAGTTCATCTCTTGATGCTCCTGCTTCTGAAGCCTGTCCAGTTTCCTTTCCCTTGGTTTCTTTTGAGGTTGTTTTTTTCCCCTTGTTTTTGTGGAAGACTCAGAGAAGAGTCTTTCTTATGGCTCCCTCTGTTGGGATTAGGATGGAAAGAAAATATAGTTGTTTGTGAAAGGCATTGTGATTGCCCAAGCCCTTCTCCTATAGGACTGCCTTGCTGATATGCCTTCCTGCTGTGTCTTACTTCATGAGGAGTTATATCTTCCCACCTCCGCTTAGATATTGCTTCTTAGGTAAGCAGAAGCGCAGTCAAGTCTAAGAGACACACACACAGATGGAGTGGGTCCTGATCCATTTTCTCTATCCGTGACTGTGCATGTATCGTTCCTTATCCCAGAAGGAACTGTTTGGACTCTGGACTGATTTGGGTTACATACTTTAGAAGATGCAGGAAACCATAGTAATAGGGCCTCAAGACTGTCTATTATTGCATTTTCCCCCTAGAGTTGCCCTGGTCAGTTTTGGGACCTAGTTATAGAGTGGTCCTGAAGAATTGTGATAACTTTAAAATGTCGAACTTTGGCAAGAACTAAGACAATTTTGGGTTATCTGCCCTTGACTTTTTATAGGCATCTCATTCAAAGGGGATGCAGAGGGAAAAGAGGGTCTAAGTGAGACACTGGCCTACTTCCAAATAATGTCTGGGAAACAGGCTGAAGGTAAGGCCGTGGTCCACTCTTCGTCAGAGAGGGAGCTCCGATTGTGACATTACCATCTCCTTTCTGGCCTTTGCTCCTAGTGGAGGAGGAAGAAGTGGGAAGTAGTTTTGTGTAATGGTTGGTTCATATTACCTCCCTCTTGGTTTTTGTTTTTTGCTCCCCACTGTTAGAGCAGTAGCCCCCTACCCTGGATGGGTATGAGGTGGGCTGGGGACAAACTAACTCCTTTCATTTTGGGGGGAGAGAATGCTCCCTACCATATAGTTGGCAGTGGTTAGGAATTCTCCAGTTCCCTACCTATCCTCCCTCTGACAGCAGAATTCCTATCCTCCCCTCCTCTATTAAATGTATTTATCACCCTGTAATTATATTATGTATCTGAGTGTGTGTGCGTGTGTATGGGGGGAAAGGGATTCTTTACAAATTTTCTGTGGTTTGTGGCTTTTTCTTTCATGTATTAGTTCTTACCACCGCATGCCCAGTAACGCATGCTGGGATCTTTGGGAAAGTATAGTGAAACCCATCCCTGTACTTTGTTTTGGAGATTCTTATTTTTGCATAAGTAGTCTATCCTATACAGATTGCTAACTGTGTATTCCCCTTGCCTCTGTGGCTGCTGGTGTAAATAAATTGCATCTCCCCATTGGTAAACAGTAATAATAAACACAATTTTAAAAAATGAACTGTATTTGGACTCTGTATGTTAATCTTTAAAATTGTACATGGTTTTCAGGTATTGACATAGTGAAATAAATATTGAATTGCTGTTGACCTTAGTCACTTTTTCCTGAATGGAAGTTTTATCAAAATGGAGTAATTCTGTCCAACTTTGTTTCTCCATCTAGTCCTGCAAATTTAGCTTTCTGCAACATCTAGTGAAAGAAACAAACTATATACAATCTGCTGTTTTCCATATGAGGTAAGAAGTGGTAAAATAAATGTAATCCAAGCCTTCACTAAAAGTCCAATGTGAAAGATGGTTCAATTTGAATGGAACTCAAAGTATCTTAATATGGACATTTCACCACCATTTCAAACTAATGTCCTTGCCTTAAAAAGTCAAATGATTCATAGCAAAGAATGAGTTGGCCTTTTTAAGGGTAATTTTTTTCCCAATACTTTTTATTTTACCCCGATTCTTTGTCTTTCATTTTATTTTTAGAATAATTCTGCGATTTTTCATTTTTTCCAATTCCAAATTGAGAGATGGAGTACTTACCCCAAATGTGCATATTACTCCTTAGTACTGATAATTTGTTTACTGAAGGTTGGAAATAATGTTTAGATGAATAAAAATTAAGAAATTGGGCCAGAAGAGGATTTGTCTCAGGAAACCTTACAGACATGTAACATGGTATTGAGTCACCTAACATTCAAATACTTTTGTATCTTGTTTTGTATGTTTACATTTGAATTAATATACTTAGTGCTAACCTAGTTAGTTTTTTGAAATGAGATATTTTTGCAGGACCTCAGTACTTTACTAAATCATTTGACGGTAGGATTTTTAAGATTATTTCTTTTCATATTTTCTAACTGATGATCTTTATGTTTAAAAAGAAAAAACATTGCATACCATTTAACTTCCTACATTTAACTCCCCAGATACTACATTTTAACTTCACCGTGTAGCAGGAGATCAGGAACCTAATAAATGGTTACTTGATGTTAACAAAGATAAAGACAGAAGATTAGTGCTCAAGTAGTTAAGGATTCAGGAAGAGTTTTCTTTACACACAGTAATTAGCAACATTGCTTTCTTTAAGACCTATCTGAGATACTTTAAAGTGTTTAATTATTTAAAAAAGGTGTTTTATGAAATGAAATATGAATGTACTAAAAACCCAACATTTATACTTTATTAAACATCTTTTCACGTTAATCTTTAATTGTCATGGTTAGTGAACTACTACTCAGATCAGCTAAAGATAACTTTTATCATCAAACTTTGGAAGTTTTACTCTGCTGTGGAAGGCCCAAGCTCTGATTTTTATTCATGTTCCAAAAGATTCCCATGATGCTTTGGAGGAAAACATTTGTTAAAGTGATGCACATGTTCAAAAAGATACTACAGGTAAACTTGTAAATCCTTGGATTTTTTTCTTTTTCCATTTTGAAAACATTTTCATTCATTTATTACTTGAACCTCATTGGATATATGTGAGCTAAAAAGGAAATACTACCGAGGGTGCCAAAAATATGTATACACATTTTAAGAAAAGAAAACTTAAAATTGTAATATTCAATATATACTGATAAGAAAAGATGAATACAAGTTACGTTTGACTTCTGCAATTACAAGAGGTGCTCAAAGTGGTTACCATCAGCATTCAGACACTTCTGATTACAGCAAACTGCTTGAGTGATGTTGACCAAAGTGTCCACTTGTATAAATTTTTTTGGCACCCCAGAATATTCATTTTAGAGTTGAGAAAATATATTCAGCAACAGTGACGTGCCCACAGTTCAAAAACAAAAATACAGAGGGCTGGCTGAGTGGCTCAGTTGCTTAAGAGCTCGCTCAAGAGTGCGAACTCAGCAACAGGGTCGCTGGTTCGATTCCTGGCCCTAGCTGAGCTGCCAACAGGTGGTAGGATGGTTCAGCTAAAAAAAAAAAATGAGAAGCTAAAGTAGAATGCTGGTGTTAGTCCAGTACTCTGTTAAAACAATAGAAATTCTAATAAAAAGACTAATAAAGACAAACTGGTTAAATTAGAATGAAAAAATTGTGATACATGAAAACTTTAAGGCAATAAGTTTGAAAACAATAAAAAATTTAAAAATTTATCAAGAGTGACCCAAAGGAATTTTTATTTAATAAATGAATACATCTAAAACTTAGAGAAGCCAAGTCCTCTCCACCCCAATCCAATACACACATAAAAACACTAGACATTTAGAATGTTTTTTCAGACAGTACAGCAGAAAACAACCATTATAGCCTAAATGTAATATGAAGGTTTTTTTTTTTTTTAAAGTGATGTTAGCAAACCAACTCCATTGAAATATCAAAATAAACATTACTAACAAGCCTGGTTAAATCCCAGGAAAGTAAGATTTTGACTCAGAAAATCATCACATCATCATTAGGGTAAAACTACGTTGAAGACCTCAATAAATCAGAAAAATAGTTTGTAAAAGTCAATATCAATCATTGATTTAAAAAATAGTCATATAGAAACAAGGGCTAAATAACTTCCATAAAGTATGTATCAAAAATCTACAACTTGATGTGCTTAATGGTGAATACTTGGAAGCATCCGCTTTAAAATCAGGAATGGAAGAAACAATTTTCATGTTCTCAGATGTTATCTAAATGATAATAATATAGAATCTATGAACAGGCTACTGGAAGTAATGATAGAATGCAGTAAAGTTGCTGGCTATAAGATCAATATCCAAAATCAGAATAATAAAAAATGTTAATGTTACATTTATAATATGCAACAAAAATTATAATGGCCCTATGAATTAATATAACAAAGTGCAAGAATTTTATGGAGAACACTTTCTTCCGGTATGTTAGAAAAAAACCAAATAGTATGTTTATGACTAGGAAGCTCAATATCATCACTCCTAATATGTGAATTGGAAGTAATTTTGATAAAAATCCAAATAGACATTTTCATGAAACTTGACAAACTAATTTAAAATCTATATGAAACACAAGGTACAAGGATAGACAAGATCTTTTTGATGAATGTATCTTACATAATGTGGTTTTGGTGCAGAAACAATGGAACAGAATAGAGTTCAGAATTTGGGGGGGAAACCCACATTTATGTTATCCTGATGTATAACAAAATTGGTATTATAGTCAGTGGTTTATAAACATATATTGTTCTGGAATAGAATATCCATAAATGATATAACCCATACATAAAAGTTAATTCCCATGTGAATTTAAGACACTGGGAAAGTAAAACATCAAACCTTTATAGGAAAATAAGACGTTTATAAGCAAGAGAAAATGTCTTAAATAAAAGCAAACAAAAGTGCAATATACTGGATAAAATCCAATATATTGGACTAAGTGCAATATATTGGACTATACTAAGTAAAATTTTTTGTGAGTTTTTGTACTGCAAACAAAACCTCATGCTATACTAGTATGTAGAAGTGTTGCAGTTCTTACAACTGATAAAAGATTATTAACAAAATAATTATACAATTGACAAATGGACAAAGTAAAAGAACATCATTTATAGAAATCCAATGCCAAAAAGATGTGAAAAGTTCACTTAGGTTCAGAGAAATGCAAGCCAAAAACAAATGAAATACAAATTTATACCACTCAGTATGGTTAAAATAATAATAGAGTGATGATATCAACTCTAACAGGTGTATGGAGCAATTAGAACTTATACATTGCTGCAGACTGTAAGTTGATACAAGATTTTAGACAGCAATTTGGAAATATAGTTGATAAGCATAGCCAATACCCTAATATTTCCACCTCTTGTAGCATTATTTGTAATAGAAATTTCAAAGTGATATATTAGTGTGTGTGTGTGTGTTGTGTGTGTGTGTGTGTGTGTGTGTGTGTGTGTGTATATATATATATATATATATATATATATTTCTATACAGAAGTGAAAATAACCAGGGCTGCACAAATAAAATATTTAGTAAAACATATATTCTTATAATTTGCTACCTTTCATTTGAAGCTTAACAATAGGCAAACCAATGCTAAATATTGTTTAGGGATATATTCGTATGTAATAAAATGTACTGTATGCCAAAAACATTGAACTAGACTTCTGCTTTCATGTGTATGGCAGTCTAGATATTGGAAAAAGATTTCCTGATGCAAAACCTCTGGATGTTGAGTAAATAGCAACGAAGAGTGCTCGCTTCAGCAGTACATGTACTAAAATGGGAATAATACAGAGGAGATTAGCGTGGCCCCTGTGCAAGGATGACACGCAAACTCCTGAAGCGTTCCATATTTTTTGAGCACACACACACACTCAAAGTAGCAACAAAGATACTGCCAATTGCCTTGCCGTCTTTCCAAGAAAGTAAGGAAAAACCCAGCCTTTCCTTCTAGTGCACATAATAATCACCAGCGATACAAATGCAAACAGAACATGGGACTGCACTGTGGAACATAGATACCTGGAACTTCCAGATGGGAATGGGAGGTTAAGCCTTGATCATCATAGATGGAGATTGTTACACTCCATATAAATATAAAATACCTGAAATAATCTGTACGTCCTTAGTGAAAGGGGAGACTGGCAGGCAAAGACCTTCCTTACTACAAAGAGAACAGATAAAGTCTCTGCCATGGCCAGAGGTGAAGTAATTAAAATAATGTCATCATTTCCTTTGGGAATTTGTACCCATACCCTTCCTTTCCCGTAGCCATAGTTACTCTACTCTGCTCATCAGAGAAACCTCTACCTAAAAATTATATAATGTGTCCACAATAATATACTTCTTAGCTACCTGACAGAATTTGGGCCCTTCAACATTCTCAGAAAATATAAGCTTGCAATAAAGGAAACATTTACTTCTTTAAAGTTTTCACTGATGTTCTGCATCTAATAATTCTATTTATAAGAAAGGAGTTACAGAATTAGTACTCTTTTCTTGTAAATAGAATTATTAGATGCAGAATATAATGGCTATAAATTAAATCTTTAAGTTAACAGATGGAATTTTAAATGTGAACAAGGAAAC